TGAAGATGATAATGATGACATTAAGGAATCTGCAGATGACATTTTAGTCCCATGGGATGATACAATATGGCAATTTCCAAATCAAAATATACTCAAAACAATGGTTTGTTGCCCTAATACCGGAAATTATAAAGGAGCATCACATCAAGGATGTAAGCAAAAAAACGAAATAATTGGTCCAAAATGGTATCAACAGCCTAGTATTCCAGATAATGGAATATTCAAAGAAACATACAAATGTATGTATTGTAATAGTCAAATGTTAGATCAAGGATTATTAAAAGTTCGGGACCATTGCCATATTAATGGAAAATATAGAGGCCCAGCTCATAGCAATTGCAATAAAAAACTACAAATGGGCGCTTTCAAAACCAAAGTACCACTTATCTGTCATAATTTCCGAGGCTACGATTCTCACTTGCTTATAGAAGTTGCCGGCAGATTTACTTCCAATAAGCTTAAATGCATTCCGGAAAACATAGGCAAATATAAGGCTATGGATGTTGGTCAATTGCGCTTTTTAGATAGCTTTCAGCATATGTCTATGGGGCTTGATAAGCTTGTTGAGTGTATGAACGGCAATCTAGAAAAGTTCCCCCTAACTAAAAAGCATTTTGCCGATAAAGGCTACTCATTAGAGCAAATCAAATTTCTATTTCGAAAAGGGGTTTTTCCATATGACTGGACCAATTCTTGGGATAAATTCAAAAAAACGGCTTTACCGCGCAGAAAAGATTTCTATTCTCTACTTAACCAGCAAAACATTAGTAAGGCAGACTATACCTATGCCCAAGAAGTCTGGCAAAAATTCGAAATGAAAACTTTTGGCGAATATCATGATTTATATCTTGAAACAGATGTACTCCTACTTGCGGACGTTTTTATGAATTATACCATTATGTGTTTGAAAGATGATGGCTTAGACCCATCCCATTACGTTTTGGCTCCTGGTATGTTTAATGATTCTTTATACAAAAGTAGCGGAGCCGAAATAAAACTTCTGACAGACCTAGATCAATATATGTTAGTAGAGAGAGCCATTCGTGGGGGCATGTCTATGGTTAGTCAACGTTATGCCAAAGCTAATAACCCGCAATGTCCTGATTATGATGAAAGCAAGCCGAATTCATGGGTTATGTATGAGGATATGAATGCATTATATTCTGGCGCCATGATACAATATTTACCAACAGAAATTTTAGGTAAGGTAGCCCCTGAGGAAATTCCTAATATTTTAGAAATTCCGATTGATGCTGAAGAGGGCTATTTACTTGAAGTTGATATGGAAGTTCCGTTAAACTTGCACGATTTATTCAATGATTACCCATTAGCACCTGAAAAAGGCGTTGTACCTAAAAACTGGCTTAGCCCATATAATGAAGACTTGGTAAATGATTCGGAAATTGGCGGAGGAAAATATGTATTAGGAGAAAAGCTACTTCAGACGCTCCTGCCTAAGAAAAATTATGTGGTTCATTACAGAGCCCTTCAACTTTATATAAATCTTGGAATAAAGGTTACAAAAATTCATGAAGCTCTAAAATTCCATCAATCCAGCGCTTATTGTCATAAGGATTCAGCCCTATTTTGTTAACGCGTTCTAAATAAATTTGATGATCATAGCTACGAAGCCCATACATGTCGTGCCTAGTAATTTTTCGAGTTTTTAAGCATTCTAGGAACTTGTCATGACGAAGCTCCCTTTTTACTACTGATTTTTTAACGCCCTTGGCCTTTTGTATGCCATGCTTTTTCTGCCAACCCTCTTCTTCTAACTCTTTTTCGAAATCCGCCTCTGTTTTTGGCGTTTTGGGATCATGACCAACTGGAAGAACTGAATACATTTTCGGCTTTAAGCATACAGCTTCACTAATTGGGATTCCCTTACACTCATCTTTCATTAGAAATAATCTTTGGAATTATTAATATCAAATAGGTCTGGCCTCTCTGCCCAGTCTTTATAAATGTCTTCAGTTTCAATCCACATAATTAGTGAATCGGTATCAGTATAAAGAAGGCAGGCCTTTTCTCCATAATGGGGTTTAATATAGCCATACCAAAAGTTATACATCATAGCCTTAGTAATATTGAGAATTGCTTGCCCTACAAACATTGGCTTATTTAGAGTAATCTGGCTTTTTAGCATATGGATGGCTGTAATTCCGCCTTCGAAAGCCTTAAAACCTACATATAAAGGAGATGCAGTAAGACGTTTAAGTTTTTTGTCCTCATCAGGTTTAAGTAATTCTACTCTCATATGTTTTCGGACATTTTCCATTTGCTTACCAAAGACGGCATTATTTTTTAATTTATAGTACATAACTCCGAATTCGTCCCCAGATGCTTTAGCAATTTTTCTTTTGCGAATATTTTCCTCTATATATGGCTTCATCCATGGGGATTGATGGAATTTTAGAGCTTCATGAATTTTTGTAACCTTTAATCCAAGGCTTATATAAAGTTGGAGGACTCTGTAATGAACCACATAATTTTTCTTAGGCAGGAGAATCTGAAGTACAGTCACGGAAAAAAGTATCGCTTCACCTGATGATCAGCAAAAATAATTGAATAACTCCGGTGATATAAAAAGTCATTATTTTACTAATCAAGTCGATGTTGTGTAATAACAAAAAAATCTTTTTCATAACGAATTCTATAACATACTCAAGTTCCACAAGATTCAATTAATTATTGGTAATTTTATAATCTTTAAAAGACAAAAAAAAAATTTCCGGAAATTTTCCAAAAAACTTTAGATTAGAGCCAACTTTAGATGTCATGTTTTAACACATTTTGGGAGCTTAGTAAATGTTGTTTCTTTTGTCTTCAAAGGGATACTTATAAAACCTCATAATTAATTGTCAAATACTGGTCAAGAATCGAATTGAAACGTAAAAATGACTAAAAAAAATAAATGTGTTACATTTAAAATTTTTTTTTCACAAAATATTGTTATTCGTTTTAACGTTTTTTTAACTCTTATTTTTTAATCAACAACACAATGACTCTTACAGAAACAAATACACAGAATACTGAAAACACTGAATTAACTGACTTTGAAAGAGGAAGAATAATTGGTCGTTGGGAAGCTGGTCAAACAACTCGAGAAATAGCAAATGCCATTGGTCGTACTCAAACACAAGTACAGCGTGCAATAAAAGCATATCGCGAAAAAGGTCAAATTACTGTTTTATCTAGAAGTGGAAGACCAAAAAGTTTAACAGATCGAGACTGTAGGACTTTAAAAAGAATTGTCATAAAAAATCGTTTTACTCCTGCTAGAGAGATAACTAACATATTAAATGAAATCACAGACAATCCTACTTGTGATCGAACAGTTCATAGCTATCTCCATGGAGAAGGATATTATAGTCGAGCTGCATTGAGAAAACCCTTTGTTTCTGAAGTTAATCGAAAAAAACGATTTAGTTGGTGCAGAGAAAGAAAAAATTGGAACATTAATGATTGGAATAATATTATTTGGAGTGATGAATCAAAATTCAACTTGTATCATTCTGATGGATGGCAGAGAGTTTGGAGAATGCCAAAAGAAAAATATGATGTTGACTGTCTTATTCCTACTTTTAAACATGGCGGAGGAGGAATAATGGTGTGGGGTTGTTTCGTGAACAATCAACCAGGACCCTTGGTAATAATAGAAGGTAAAATAACTGGTAAAAGATATCAAGAGCTTTTAGAAAATTCTTTATTGCCTTTTATGAATGAATTAGGAACTGATTTAAATATATTTCAAGATGATAATGCACCAGTTCATACTGCAAAGGCAGTGCTTAAATGGAAAGAAGATAATTTAATTTCTTCTCTTCCTTGGCCTGCTCAGAGTCCTGATCTCAACCCAATTGAACATGTTTGGGATTATTTAGAAAAGGCAGTTCATAATCGAAAACCACATCC